CGAGATGCCGAGAGATGATGATGTGTCAGGGTGAGATGTGCATTGATGCCGATGCTGCTGCTCCGCCGCCGCCGCCTGCCGCGGATGTTCAGTTCAGCACAGAGCGCTACCCAAGTCGGTTGTTCCTGACAGAACAGTACACAGGGATTGCTGCAGTGTCCGTCCCCACACATGTACGGCGCACTGAGTACTTTGCGTTGAATGTATATTGCGGGCGTCGGAGGGCTGGAGATATTCGAGCACATCTAGATTGGTCCCACTATGAGGCTAACTACTGTATTCATGTGCTGTCAGTAGATATTGCGATCCACGCGACGTTAGGTGATATGATGAATAGAAATACCCTCGAGACGTGGAAGCGGCATATTCGAGATCGACGGGTTGTTGTGTCTGGAGGGGGCCCCCCCATGTGAGACGTGGTCTGCGCCACGATGGTCCGACGGCCCTGGGCTCCGCCTTACATGCACACGACGCCTTCTGGGGAAAAACCAACGTGACACCACGGCAAATGGAACAGTTGTGGGTAGGTAATGCACTGCCCCAGGCCATGGTGGAACTGTTTGCAGCACATTTGGAGGCGGGCGCCTCCTGCTGGATGGAGCATCTACAGCCTTGCGGTTGGAGGCTACAGGCAGTCAGTTCTTTCAGTTGGCACCCACTCCGTGCACTGGAGTCGTCGCCCGCCGTAACTACCACAGATTTCGACCAATGTGAGCACGGACAGAGTTCACGTGCACCGACACGTATTCTAGCCCTTAGGATGCCAGGGCCACACACAGCACTACTCAACACGCCTGGGCGGGAAAGGTGCTCGCACGGCGAGGGGTGGACACCGGGCCCTGCTAGGATACGATCGTAAGTCGCGAGCTTGGCGAACGGCCCAGGAAAAAACGTATCCGACTGGGTTATGCCGATGCATCGCAGACTGCGTCGCCACTACTATCAGGGAGATGTTCGACGACGGGCCGGGATCACATGATGACGAGTTCCCGTGCGATATGCGCGATGAGGAAGCGACGCGACAGGAGCTGCTACAGTTCTGGGTTGCTTGGGATCCATGCGCGGGCACAGAGGAGTCGTGGGCCCCAGATTCTGTGTCCAGAGCCCCAAAGCGCGCCCGTCCTGACCCAGAAATGGAGAGGTTCCTGCCCGTGCCTGCGCCACAGGAGGCAACGACGGAATCGGTCGCTTCCCAGCCCCCACTGGCTCAGGAAGCGGAGGCAGAGGAGGGGGGAGGTCAGGCAGCCTGGTGTGAGGAGGAATATGTTGTCGCGAGGGGGTTTTTGGAGGAGCAGAGCCGAGTGCCAGCACCGCTGGCTAATGCCACATTGACAGAGAGTCAACTGCAGCGTATCAGGGTGAATAGGCAAGAGGCTCGTAGACGGCGAAAGGCGAAGATAGAGGCTGAACGTGAGGCCAGGCTGCGTGTTGTTGCACCATGGACCACGGATCCAAATTTCAGTTTCAACCTGTTCGACTAGTCCCAGCAAAAAGGTAGGTCGATGACAGGAGTGTTAGTATGCCTAAGTATCCCCCCTTCCCCCTCCTTTACCTTACATTCTCTCCCTGCCCCTCTCATGCGCGTTGTGTGTAGCAGTCATGGGGTAGCAGAGCTGGGTTGCAGCATTGCATGCCTTTTCTTGCACATAGCAGGGATGGGGTAGAAGGGCGGGCGGCTCCTTCGCCACGATGTCATATGCTTGACCCCGCGAGCTGGCAGCGGACCGAGAGTGCGAATAGCGTGCCCCGCCATGCCAAGCTGGAGATGTGGTGTCCGCATAGGACAAGAGGAGAGGCGAATGCCACGCCGCCCGTCAGTGCATATTATTTCCCGAGGGGTAGACCCGTAGAGCCCATGCGGGTGCCCACGACGGCTTAAACGCGACGGAGCGTGTATCCTTTTGGGGCATGGGATGTCACTTTCATGTATTCCCCTTCCGCCTCCACCTCCGCACCCTTCCACGCGCGCGGCGAGCGGCAGAGAAGGGGTAGCAGGGTCGGGTTGCTGCAGTGATGGGGTAGTAGGGAAGGGTTGCTGCCTCTTGCTGTCGCTACTTTGCCCGCCCACTGCTTGCGGACATCGTGGAGTTCGTTTGTCAGGACCGTTTCTTTGCATTTTGTGGTGCGTGTCACGTGCTGGTGATCACTTGCTGGCGGCATGGCAGGGAGTGCGAATAGCGTGCCCCGCCGTGCTTTCTGGCACGACGGTGCCCGCAGCGGACTCGCTGAGAGGCGAGGTCCTTCTCCCTTGCTATCTCCCCTGCTCTTATATGTTCCCCTCTCTCATCCCCCACTCGTGCACTGTTAGTGGCTGCGCCTGTTTCGGCAAGAGTTGCCGTCGGGGATGGGACAGCGGTTGGGGGGGATTGGAGCAGACCTGACCTGTACTCCGCCCGTTTGGGGTCGGAGCCTGGTCGTGCCTTAGCGACGCACGGCGCCAACCTGTCATACCTATTGGGAGGGTTTGGTCGGGGTGGGGACTCATGGGGCGGATGGGCCGTGAGAGTGTACTTTCCTTGGCGCCCGTGCTTTAATGCTTTCGAATGCTCGTTTGTATGAAGCCAGTTGAGTGTCGTCATCATCTGACCGCTGTCTGTGGCGAATCAGGTCGCAATTCAAATTCCTCCTCCTCCTCCTTCTCCTCCTCCTCCGCCTCGTCCTCCCTTTCCCCCCCGCCCCCCGCTCCTCCCCTCTTCCCCTTTTTTTCCGAGGGGGGGGGGGGGGGGGCCAGACCCCCTCTCCGCCCCGCCCCGCTGGCCCGGGCTCCAGGTGGCGTACTTGCTGGTCCACGCAGCGGTGCCCTGGCTGCTCGTGCGCGGGGGCGCGGCGCTGCGCTCCGCGGAAGAGGTGGCCGCGTCTCGCGGGGCGCGTCATCATCATCGTGCCTCCTGTCCTGTCCTGTCCCTCCACCCTCCTCCTCTTCCCTCCTCGTCCTCGTTCTCCTCCTCCTCTTTCTTTTTCCCCTCCTCCCTCCTTCACCTCCCCTGCCCTCGTGATTTGTCGGAGGTGGCTTGGCCGTTGTGATATGCAGCAGTTGCAAGGAGGCATGAGACATCAGACATGCAGCGCGGTTCTGAGTTTTCTTATCATTGCGACGGCCTTGCGGCCAGTGCCGCCGACCCTGAAGGGGGACGACGACGACGACGCTGATGCTGACGCTGACGCTCTGGAGCCCTTCTTGGGGCTCCGTTGGGAGCCTGTTGGGTGCCTCTTGGGCTCTGTTGGAAGGCCTCTTGGGGAACTTTTTGACAAGCGCCGGGGTTAGTTGGAACCGGCTCGGAGCGGAGCTGAAGCATTTTGCACGCATGTGGAACAATCGCAGCACTCCGCAACAGCAGATACGAGTGAAGAGGGTGCCTCCGGGAAGGGGGGGGATTCGGAAGGAAGGGGGGGGTCCTTTGTCCACAGGGGGAGGCGGGGGGAGGGGTCCTGAGTTCCACTTGCACACAGGGGGCCATCCCCTTTTGTCCCCCTTGTCCACAGGGGGGAAGGGGGGGGGGAAGGGCTGGGGGGGGCCTCAAGTTTCCCTTGTCCACAGGGGGGGGCAACCCCCCTGTGTCCCCCTGCCGTCCGCAGGGGGGACCGGGGGCCGGGAGGCGGGGGGCAGCCAGTTCTCCCGGTGCGCAGGGCGGAGACCCCCCGCGTGAGCGGGCGGGAGGGCGGGGGCCTCGGGTTCCTCCGGTCCACCGGGGAGGGGCCACCCCCCGCGTGGCCCCCGGGGCCTCCCCCGCGACCCGCCCCGGGTGTCGAAGTAACTGTTGTTACGAGTAAATGATGTGATTCATGTATTTTGCACCACCGCGGCACATTGAGCACAAATGCTACACGTACGGATAGCCAGGAGTGACGAAGAGAAAGTCACGGCCACAAGATCCCTGGATCGTCACTCCCAAAACTTAAATGTTCGTTAAAGTCTCCTGAGCTATCTGACAAAATCGTAGAGCACGCTGACAGCACACGAGGGAGAGAGGAAGGAGGAAGAGAGGAAACAGGAAAGGGGACAACTGCAGGGCGGGGCTGCCCGCCTGGTCGTCATTCACGAGCAGCTGCATGCTCAGCGTATTCTCAAGGCTTGGACTTCCCAGCCTTGTCCTCTCCCATGCTCACGTCGGGCTTGCAGGACGGCAGCGGTGCCGTCTCAAAACCATCCTCGATGGAATTCGTGAATTCATGGATCAAAATAGACCGGAGGCGATTGTACAGCTCTGGGTGACACTCGAGCTTGCTGCGAGACTCCTGCAGAATCTCTCCGATGATGACCTCCTGCTGGGAGGATAAAGCTAGACGACGAGACGTCCAACCTGACGCCGTCACATGCTGAAACCCGTGACTGTCAGGGCTGTCCTTTTCCTGCTTCTTGACCTGCTCCGAAGCCTCCTCTGCTGTAGTGGGCTCCTCATAGTCATGAGCGGCCCATACCTTCAGCGCTTCAATGGCAATAGAAGCAGCAGGAGGAGCACCAGCAAACTCACTGTCGTCTCCTGCTGCGATGAAGTTGGTGAAACGATTCTCTTGATCGACCAGTATAATCTCGGCCGCATCGATGATAGCTGCGGGCCTGGTGATCTGCACACGCTTGGTCGTCAGAGTGTAGGTCAGGCCGATCTTCTGATTGTCGTACTTGGAACCCAGCAAGACACTCGCATTGACCTTGGCCTTGGTGGATGACTTGTTGTGGACCACTGCCCCAGCGGTGGACGCATAACCTAAAGTGTTCAAAAACGTGCGACACGTGTCGTGATCACCAGTAACCACAAAGTGCACCATCTCTGAGCACCGTGTGGAAGGTCGTACACGAGGTGCCTCATAAAGAAATGCTTGAGCCACAAGGTACATAGGAGACGTGCTTGGCATCGGTGTTGGTTGCCCCCATAGAGTAGACGCACTCGTCGCAACCGCTTTTTCCACCAACAGGCCAAAACGCACATGCGGGTATCTTTGAAACGCGAGAACAAAAACTACACACGACTGAAAACAGCTCAGTCCCCCCTGCGGTGATGTCACTTCTCGATGACCTTCCTCTGCTCCCGCTCCGTCTCGGCCAACTGCAGCATGAGGCTCTCCTCGGAGATCTGGCAGCATCCGGTCCTGATGACACCCCTGAGCAAGTCACAAGTCTCAGCAGTGTCTTTCGTCAACCCGTCCGCCAGCTGGCGGTCGGTGGGTGCCCACCTTCAGTGCTGTTGTGGATCGAGCCAAACCTTCTCGAGCGACGACCATGTCCACGGCAACTCTGCGATCTCCGACTGTGGATGGCGATGAAGCGCCAGTGATGTGGTCATACACGCTCTTGCAGTCGGTCACTGCGAGGCAGGGATGTCGACCTAGCCAGCGCTCACGCGTCTTGATGTCAAAGTCCCCGTAGAGGGCCTCGGCCAGATGGCACAACAACCATTCGAGGTGACCAATGCCATCAGACAGAGCCTGTGTCTCACCTGCCAAGGTAGAACCCACCACGCGTTTGAGACGGTACGATCGCCAGGCTGCTGGACTCCAGGGTGACTTCTTGCCCTCCGCCATCTCGCGAGTCGTGAAGGCCAAGATGTACCCAGCCTGAGTGCCGTTCTTGGCAGCGTTCAGGAAGGACGCGTCACGGTGCATGATGATACACAGCTCCTGAGGTGGGATGCTCTTCACGATTAGCATCATATCCTTATGTTGAAGTAGCCGTCGTGCAAGTGCATTGGTCCGTCTGGTTTGACCCACAGTCGGTCGAGGCAGCACTTGTTGTCCCTGAGAGACCTGCACACTGGTGTCTGGTCGTGTCTGACTGCAGAGCCAGCCTCCTTGACCAAGTAAGCGTCGAAGTCCTGCAACTTCCGCTTCAGTAGCTGGTTCATTGTCCGCGACCCGTCGTCGAACTGTCACTGGCTTGAGCTCCTGGTAAGGCGTGGTCTGGCGGATGGAGATGTCAAACGTCTTCGGATCCTGGTGGAGAACACTGCCACAGTACTCACCCTCACCGACAGCCCACTTTCGGAAAGGGAATTTCCCCTTCAATCTCCGCACCGCCTCATGAAAATAATCATCTTCACCCGCGATCAACACATCGTCAACATGGACCACAATAATACCACAAAGCTTACACTGAGCATCGCGAAGGAGAAAGAGGCAGGGGTCCAAGCGTGACTTCGTCCACGGTCTGCACTCGTGAGCCGTCTGATCTGTAAGCCAACCTGATATCTTCGAGTACCAGCGGCAAGGAGCGTCATCCAAGCCATACAGAGGTATCACAAGCTCCACCACCTGATCAGGATGAAGACCAGGAAGGCCGCCAGGTGGCTGCTTCGCGTAGAGTGGTCCATCTGGTCGTTGTAGTGGGTCGCTCTCCTTGAATGCGCCCCGGATGTCTCCGATCTCAAGTCGCCATTGATGTGATGCAGCCAGCTGAAGTGTCAGCATGCGAGCGTTCTGCGATACCGTAGGTGCGGCCGTCTGGTTCCAGTAGACGAGCTTGAGAGCGTCCGGGTCCTTGAAACCTCTGGCAACCCAGCGGGCCTTTACCATTTCCTTGCCGTCGGGGTCGTGCTTGATGGTCAGGACGAAACGTGTGTCAACGAGCCGATCGGGTCGGGTACGCTTGATCTCACCTGACTCCTTCAAGCTGCACACACGTACGGCATGCTTCTCCTGGTCCACGGTCTGCCACTCTGTCATCTTGGCGTTCAGGATCTCCTCGATGAGGTCGGGGCGGAGCTTCTCGGTGATCCCCTTGCGGCCCTTCGCCAGCAATGCCTCGTAGCAGGGCTCGCCGGTGCGCGCCATGGAGGTCAGGCAGACATCAGCAGGGATGATCACGTCCTGATCCTCCGTCTCAGCCTCTGCCACTAGCTCGTCGTGCTCTGGATCGGAGTCCAGGAGCGCCTGCCGAGCATCAGCTGGCCGAGTCGGAGGTTCCTCGACGGCAGGCTGCACAGCAATGGTGATAGCTTGACCAGATGTCGCCGATGATGTGAGACCCTCAGTCGGGACTGCTGTCTTCTCCCTCAGGCGTTTCAAGGGCTTACCCTCGATGTCGAACACGCGTCGGGCGACTAGGCTCGGATCCTGCAGCTCGTCGATCTTTCTCTTGGCGGCTTGGTCCACCTCGAGGCCGGTGTCCCCAGGAGCTGGAGCCAACACATTGTCAGTCGATCCAGCGTCAGGCTGGGGTCGGTCCTCAGATAGAGCGGGCCCGGGAGGTAGAGCAGGCTCAGGACCGACAGGCAGAGGCGCCGGCACCACGATGATACGACCGTCGCCAGATGGAGCCGGCGCCTGTCCTTGATTCTCAGCAGGCAGATCCACGTAGACCGGGTTGCCTTGCTTTCCATTGAACTTCTCTTGGGCAGCCCTGAACTCTTGACGCACATGCCAGTCTGCCCACTCCTCCTCGCGGGTAGAATGTCGAAGGCGTTCGGGAGCTGCTCGAATCAGGGCACCTGCGTGTGATAACCAGTAGTGACCATTTTCCTCGCCAAGGACTGTAGCCCTCCCATGCCAACGTGCATTATTCTTGCCGTCATTCTGCCGGCCCTTGCCTCGACCTCGCCGCCAGTAGGCTACCCGATCACCTGCTCGAAACTCTCGGAGGGGGCGAGGTCGAGCGTCCAGAGCTGTTCTCATGGCCTCATCGTCACTGTACATCAGGACAGCCATGCGGGCGGCAGTCCGAACAGCCGTGGCCCGCTGGTAGACGTCGCTGCGCAGTGCCAAGCCGTTCGCAACGATGGCAGGTGAATCCTTGAGAAGGTCGGCCGGGAGAGGAGGATCACGTCCGAACACATGTTGGCATGGATTGTGCCCATGCTTCCTCAAGAGGCGGTTCTTCTGATCACAGACTGTACTGACGCATTGCTCCCACTCCTGATGGTTCTTCGGCTGGACTGTCTCGATCACCTTGCTCAGTATGTTGGCGAACCACGAGCCATGTCTTTCAGCCTTTCCGAGTAACCAGTGAGCTTCTCCTGGAATGACGTCGAAATCCTCTCCGTCGCACTCCAGCACCTCGGACATGATGGCACCGGTATTGGCCCGGGCCGAGTCACATTTGGCCCTGACCGGTGCTCCGTGCGGCCTTCGCCAGCCCACGTCCCAGGCCTTCCTGAGAGTCTCACCGTTCTCCTCATTACCTGCCAGCGGCATCATCTGTTGGAGAGAGCTGGCACCGTCCACGACGTTCAGAGCGGCCCAAGTCTTCTCAGAGATGTAGTACGGCAGCTCCTTGACGTCGAAGCCTACCTCGGACAACACCTGAATGTCTCTGGGAACCGTCGCTGGCCGTGGCAACTTGGGAGCTCGGTTCTGTTCACATACGTCGCGCTTGAAATCCCGCGCGATGGCGATGGCCTCCTCAGTCGCGTTACCATGCTTGAGGATGCGGATCAGGTCCCCAGCTGCAGGATGGCCAAGATTGACATGGATCTTGCGGACCGCCGTCTCCAGCTTCCGTCGTCGATCTCGAGCTTCAGCTTGGGACTCTGGCGGCTCCTCCACGTCCTGATCAGCCTTCTTGCGCCTCTTGGGCGCGGCAAACACCTCCGCCATGAGAGATTCGTGGGCGTGGACCTCGACCAAACCCTGCCAGAGCACGGCCCTCGCCTGCAGCGACTCCTCGACCTCCACCTCGGAAAAAAGAGCTGACGACTCCTTGGACATCCCACTCACGATGGCCCTAATCAGTGCGGGGGGATAGCGCTGAGAAGCTGCGCTCCGTCGTTCACCTCCAGCTCCTCCTTGAATCGTCTCGTGGTGATGGTCGCCTGGGCAGCGTCGAGACAGAGCCTGAGCCAACACCGGACTCGAAGTGATGAGCCTGAAGGCCTTGCGATAGGGCTTGCCACTGATCGCGTCGTGATAACCATATTGACAACCGTGGCCAACTGCCTCATGCACCCGGTCCTGGCGCCTTAGTCTGATCATCGCAGGCTCGTTCCACGACTGCGCCGACTGTGGCTGCTCGATATAGAAGTGACGGTCGTGAGCCAGTTGGTACTCGGCAACCTGAACGCACAGTCGAAGTAGGAGCCGAGCGCTTGCCAAACGTCGCTCGCTGATATCCGGGAGTATCCCTCTGCTTATTCATGTACTGCAGGATGCTAAACAACGTACAGGGTGGCGACATGCCAACCCACTCAGGTTGATCTTCAGCCAGTTGTCGCCACATTTCTCGACGGTGATCTGCGCGCAGGAGGTCCCAGCCGGTGGTCAGGTCCAGGGCCTTTGCTGGGCCCAGACCCTTGAGCTCGGCCTTCGGACCCACTCGCTCAGGGCTGAACAACTCGAAGAGTCCCGCGCGCCGCAGCTGCGCGGTGACCGTGGTGATGTCCTTCGCCAATCGTCGTCGCTGTCGGCGGGTGAGCTCGCCAGTGGCATCACCCGATGGAGGATAGGCCTCCGCGAGCTCGTCGATCAGGTCCTCGGAGATACCAGCGTCATCCTCAGCATCGGCAGTAGACTCGACACGGGGCTCGATACGCTCCTGCCGGTCAGCTGGCATAAGGTCGAGATCCGCTGGTGCTATCGTCGCCAGGCACCGGTCATGGTTGTCGCCGAGAATGATGCGAGCAGCATCCTCAGCTTCCCTTGGAAGTGTAGGTGGTGGACCTCCAGCCCTGTCGCACATGGTCATGTCCTCGATGTCGCCTGCCGACCCCTCGGGAGCGGGGATCACGTTTGGCTGCTTCTCCGTAGCGGCGACCGCCATGTAGATAGTGACCTCGGGGTCGCTGATCATCGGGTCCAGGTTGTCACGGAAACCCTTGGGGTCAAACTCGGTCAGGGAAAGAACGTAGTGGCCGCCAGCACCTGTGGGAAGTGTACACTCCGGCAGATCGGCAGTGGTAGCTGTGTCCCTGGTGGTGTTAATCTGGGACTTCATGGCCTTGATCTGCTGCTTGGACACGAGGAAAGGCGCCGAACCTGGCACCAAAGACCACTTCGTGACCGCGTTCCTGCCCAGGATCCCACTCGGCAGTAGCACCTCGCCCACTGACGACTGGCTGCCATCGTTGCCGAAGCGAAGAGATACCTGCGGGGCATCGGGTAGACGCACTGGCTGTAGTCCATGATCCCGTCGGAGTCGTCGGCAGTGCTGCTCGAAGGTCTCCGCGCCCACCATGCCCTTGGCGCATCCGAGGTCAAGGATCGCATGGCCTGGCGCCGACGAGAGAAAAACATCCCTTTTGATCTCAGGGCTCCGATCCGGCCCTAGTGAAAACGGGTCTTCTGGATCGTCGCACTGAGAATCTCGTCGAACGTCATGCTCCCGATGGGCTTGATGGGTGTCGGTACATTAGAGAAACATTATGTGAAAAACTGACTCTTCACTGATTCGGTAGAGCTCGTACCTGCCGTGGATTTGCGAGGCCCCTTGCAGTCCTTCTGAAAGTGGCCGATCTTTTTACAACTGTGGCACCTTTCTGTTGGACGATACGCCTCTAGGTTCGGTTTCACGAAACCTCGACCCAACTTGACCTTCCCGTGTAGCTTCCGCTGCTCCGTCCATGAGATCAAGGCGTCGATGAGATCCCGCTCATCAACAGGTGGGTCGGCATCATCATGTGCTCCGTGGTCGGCCAAAAGTGCGTCGCACTCCGGGTCGCCGTCGTCATCCTCGATAGTCTCGTCGCCGTCGAGCTCCTGCTCAGCCACGAAGGCCTTGTAGTGACTCTGACCGCCCATGGCCATCTTCCCAAGGCCTGCCCGATACGTGGTCCTCAGAGCTCTAGCGACGTCGGGCTCCCGCCAGGAGCTGTGGGCTGCGGCCATGACGACCGCCTCCTTCTCGGAGTCCAGGTGGCAACCCTCGAGAAGCATGATGCCGCGCGCGATCTCTGGCAAGACAATACCTTTGCGCTCGGCATCAGCGAAGATGGCCCTGGCTCGGGCAGTGTATGCGTTGGCCTCTTCATGCTTGTGGGTCTTGAGCCTCGGACAGGCACGCATCACCTCGCCCAGCCGGTCTGTGGCTGGGAGGTCGGGGTACTTGTCGTCAAGGATGGCGAAGATCACATCATCTCCGCCAGCCTGCTCGATGAGGTCGTCCTCGACGTCCTCGATGGCCCTGAAGGCCGCCCCCGTCAGGAGAGTGACCAGTGCTGAGCCTCGAGCATCCTCATTGTTATTCTTGGACTTGATCCATGCTCTCGCCCACTTCCTCCACGCCTTGTACTCGGTGGGCTTGTCACCCGAGAACCTCCTGACGGCGCCATTCTGATTGTCGGAGTCGGCCATGCCGACGAAGAGAGTTGCAGAACTCCGCGCTCTGCTGGTAGTTGTAGATCAAAGGCGTCACCACTCCGATGGGAATGAAACCGATGTGCACACCCCGCGCACAGAAAGAGAAAACACGCTCCGCTCTACCAATGTCGAAGTAACTGTTGTTACGAGTAAATGATGTGACTCATGTATTTTGCACCACCGCGGCACGTTGAGCACAAGTGCTACACGCACGGATAGTCAGGAGTGACGAAGAGAAAATCACGGCCACAAGATCCCTGGATCGTCACCGGGGGCCGCCCACGGAGCTCCCGCGTGACCCATCCCAGGACCCCCCCCCCTCTGGCGGGGGAGTAATCCAAGGGGATGGCTTCCCTTCGACTCAAGTTCGACGTTCTTCGATTTCCGTCTGGTTGGAGAGTGCAACGGCGACGGGGGAAATGGGGAGAGTGCAGCGGCGACGACGACGACGATTCAAACAGAAGAGGGGAGCGGCGACGGCGACGGCGACGGCGATGACTCAAACGGAAGAACGTCTCACACCCACACCGACAGGGTCGGCGGACTTGTCCTTTCCTACCTCCTCTTCCCCTTCTCCGCCCTATCTCCCTCCCTTGGCTCTTGGGGAATAAGAGTCAACCAATGGTCGGCGCACAGATTCCGATCGAAAGACCGACCGACTGACCACCACCACCCTCGGTCTCCCCCTTCTCCGGCATACGGGACGCGATTTGCTCTCTCGTTCGTAAGAGGGCTTGCAGAGCTCTAGTGGCTTCTTCTGTGGCAGACCCCCTCCAGCCAAAAGTTCAAGGAGTCCTGGAGGAGAGGGCAACGTCCCCGCTTTTGAGGAAGCGGTCGCCGCTAGTTTCCACTGCATCCGCCGAGAAGTATCGAGATGGCACTGCGTCCGCTGTCGTTTAATTTCGGCCAAGGGCCAGGTGATGAATGCAATGCTAGCTCCTTGCGGTGATGGGGCCAGTTGGCCACATGACATGGTCTTGCCGGTTCCGTTTTCTGTTTCTGTGCGGGGGGGTGGTCTCGACCCCACCCCCAAGTTTGGATTCTTGGATCGGCTTTTTTTGCATGTTTGTTCTGAGGCACGACTGCCTCAGTGGACTCCCGTCAGTTGGCTGAGCCCTGTCTTTCCAGGATTAACGCAGGCAAGGAGAACCTTGCCCGCATTTCCCCAGGCAGGTTTCCCAGCCACGCGGGGCCCTCGCTGAGTGGGCAGGCGGTTCTAGAATCGCGGGGGAACGAAGCGTTAGTTCTCGGGGAACCGCCGAGCCGATATGGTATTCAGATTGCAAAACGTCTGGCCACTCATCGGTGCCATCTTCGACGACATAGGCACCGGCCTGGCGCGAGCAGGCCTGGCATGGGACCGCGTTGGGGGTCTTCCTGGATTTCCTGGAACTGTACAAGGCTCCGGGGGGCCAGGGCCTTAGGCCATTGGGAAGACGTGGGGGGCGTGCAAATCACCGCGCAGACCCGACAGTGCCTCGACATCCTCGAAGCTCTGCGTCATCTGCCCCGCAGATGCTTTCAGCTGCCCGACGTTCGCTCCATGCGCCTGATACGCGGCCAGAAATATGTGGAACATTCGCCGGGCTACACCCGCAGCCTGGCTATCTGGTACCCTTGAGAATGCGAACGACATCCAGCAGATTCATCTCGACGGCGCCAAATTCGACATCCATCGAATTACCGGCGAGCGTCGGAAGGAAATTCGCATCATTCAGTTGCTGGTATCAGACACCGGACAATATCCAGACGGATCGTTCGATGACTGTGTCATCGAGATTCCCGAGGACGCCGCCAGAACAACCGAAGGGGGTTCACCATCAGCGCCATCGAGAGCGGCAGCGACGTCTCCGGCCACATCCGACAGGTCACGATGGCAGCTTGGCGCGAAGTCGAGGGGGCAGAAGGCTTGATTCAGGAGCCCGAGGAGCAAGAGAGCACCGACAGTCAGCAGGAGGTCTACGCTGCTGTCGAGCACGCCGCGGCTGGCCTAGCTGGTCGCAGGGCCCGCGAGTGGCCCCAGCGCCCCGAGCCGCAGCGCCAGCGCCAGAGCAGCCACGCGCAGTGCCAGCACTACCTGCGCGTGGCCTCCTCGGGCGGCTACGCCACGCCAGAGGAGGATGACGACGACGAAGGGGGGTCGCGCGTGGATTTGCTTCTTGATCCAGGGGTGCGCGAATAATTCTTGAGCTTCCTAGAAGAAGCGTCTGGCGACTGCGTCGCCAGCGCTCCCTGCCGCGCTGACCGCGGTCATTATGCGCGATGCCGCGCTTCTGACCGACGAGGAAGCGTCGAGGCCGTCAAGGGAGATCGCAGCGGCCGTCTTCGAAGGGATCAGTATCTGGACCACATGCACTTCCATGATTCGAGAGGCGAGTGGTCAAAGGCGCCCGAGATCTAGTGGGCTCCTGACATGTCTACAAGTGGACGCGCCGGAAGGTGGCCGACGGCAAGACGGCCCAGATCATCCTGCGCCGCATGGCTTTGAAAGAGGCCCCCGCGACGTGGGCGCCAGGTCCCCGGAGACGTTCGCTGGAACAGCGAAGCGGGCGCCGCGGCGCCCGTTATCCAGGGAGGCGGTGCGACGCCCAGACCGGGCGCGCGTCGCTGTGGAGGTCGAGAAGGCGTTCCTGCAAGGCCTGACCTGCGCCGAGGTGCAAAAACAAGGACGGACCACCCCGCGAAGTCAACTTCCTGGCCGAAGCTTAGTCGCAGGTCTTCAGGTCCCGACTCCTTCAAAAGCTTCCCCCTCCTCCCTATCCTCCCTCCTCGCGCAGCAGCCCATGAACCACACTCACTACCCAACATCCCCGTCGCCATCACGACATCAAATTCATACGTCCTGACATAACTTAACATAACGTAGCATAACATATCACAGCATAACATATCAAACCAGGACATAACATACCATGCATAACATCATTCGCCAACATCCGACATCATATGCCACAACATAAAATCACATAACGCTTGCCACGATCTCGAATAAAGAGAAATGTACCACCCTGAGCGTTCACAAAAACGACCCGCTGAAACAGTAACGTGCAACCGTGGGCGTTCGCGAAAACAACCTGGTGAAACAAGAGTGTGCCATCCTGGGCGCTCGCGAAAACACCACAAAACACAATATCACATCATATAACGTCATATCATAATGTAGTATAGATACAACATGCGTAACATACAAAACATCACAGCCACACACTATAACATCACACGTCCGCTACGGCCAGAACAAGGCCACAATAACATCGGACAATAACATGAGATCCTCCGCGGGCCAAAGTACCCCAAACCAGAAGGACGTCGAGGACGCCCTTCCGATGTGTCCCCGACCTTCACTTCCGAGCCAACGTGCGTAAGTACGCATCTGGTTCAGCCCCCAGCCTAAAGCCTTCGACTGCACAGCCTGGACCACGCAACCCCGAAGCCCTGACCCCCCCCCCCGCCCCCCGAGATCCACGCTGTGTTCCTGTGCCCTGGATCTGCCTCCGCGCGTCCGTCGTCATCCACGAGCGCGCGGTTGCTGGAGGCAGCACGTTGACATCGAGACCGAAGAACATGGAGGGTCTTGTCCGCGCCGCGGACGCGCGAGGCCTGCGACCAGCTTAGTCGGGCTCTAGCAGTGGGCCTCAGCGCCACGTCTCACGCCCTGGCACTCATGCACGCGCGCGAGCTCTCGCCCCGCGGCGCCCCAGGGGGCCTCGCGCGACCTCGCCTGCTCGCCCCAGACTCAAGGCCGCGGCCGCGCGGCCTGGCCCCCGCCACCCTAGGCCCAGCTCCAGGCTGCTGTTGCCCCACAACAAGAACATGCGAGGGTGTGCGTCTCCGCGCCGCCGTCATCCACGAGCGCGCGGCTGCTGGAGGCGACACACTGACACCGAGACCGAAGAACATGGAGGGTCCTGCCCACGCCGCGGACGCGCGAGGCCTGCGGCCAGCTTAGGGCTCTAGCAGTGGGCCTCAGCGCCACGTCTCACGCCCTGGCACTCATGCACGCGCGCGAGCTCTCGCCCCAACCCCGCGGCGCCCCCAACAACTCTGGGTTCTGCAGCGGCGCAACTCATGGGTTTTGCTGCATGTGTTCCAGGCCAACATGGCGACTCTTCTATTGCCGATAACGCGAAGCTCCGCACGCGCACACGCCGCCGCGCGCGCGGCGGCGCAGGCGCGCGAGAGGAATGTTTGTCTGCGCTGTTGTAGAACGCATGCACCAAAACCCATGTTAACTTCGAAATCCAATCGGCAACCACTAAGGGTTCACTTTGATTTCCCAGGCCAACATGGCAACTTTTCTATTGCTGATAACGCGGGGCGCCCCACGCGCACGCGCCGCCGCGCGCGCGGCGGCGCCGCCGCGCGCGCGGCGGCGCGGGCGCGCGCGAGGGGTTGTTGTATACGCCGTTGCAAGACACGTACACCAGAACCCATGTTGACTTGGAAATCCAATCGGCAACCGCTAGTGGTCCACTTTGATTCTCCAGGCCAACATGGCGCTTCTTCTACTGCTGATAACACTGAGCGCCCCACGCCCCTGCGCCGCCGCGCGAGAAGCGTTTGCATGCGCCGCTGCAGAACACATGGGCTCTGGCGCATGTGTTCAGCAACGGCGCATGCAACCACTTCTCGCGCGCGCCTGCGCCGCCGCGCGCGCGGCGGCGCCGCCGCGCGCGCGGCGGCGCAGGGGCGTGGGGCGCTCAGTGTTATCAGCAGTAGAAGAAGCGCCATGTTGGCCTGGAGAATCAAAGTGGACCACTAGCGGTTGCCGATTGGATTTCCAAGTCAACATGGGTTCTGGTGTACGTGTCTTGCAACGGCGTATACAACAACCCCTCGCGCGCGCCCGCGCCGCCGCGCGCGCGGCGGCGCGTGCGCGTGGGGCGCCCCGCGTTATCAGCAATAGAAAAGTTGCCATGTTGGCCTGGGAAATCAAAGTGAACCCTTAGTGGTTGCCGATTGGATTTCGAAGTTAACATGGGTTTTGGTGCACG